TGGCCATGCAGAAGCTGCCCTGCAGTGTCCCTGAGAAGGGGAAGCCCCCCTCGGAAGCCACCCAACCCTGCAGGCTGGGGTTGCAGATCTGGGGCCAAAGGCTGCGGAGGAGGCCTGCCCAAGATGGGGAGCCTGCGGGTGCCCTCTAGCGGAGGATCCGGGCACTGAGCCCTGCCGGGGAAGTGCAGTAACCAGAGCAGGCTTGAGCTCGAATCCAAGTTGGAAGTAGAGGCAGGCTCAGTGCTCATAGCCTCGGGCTACAGGGACAGCCGCAGCCTGCCAGGTAAGGGGTGTGGTGTGGGGGAGTCTCTAAAGTGGATTACCTTTGTGATCTGACTTTTAAAGTGTACAATTGAATATGTGAGCTGGGCTCATGATTTTAAGTTGGCGATTGTTTAACATTGAAAATATATTGATTGAGTGTTTACTTCAGTGATTGCTTAAGAATCTGAGGCGTCTTCACTGGAGAACTTAAAGGGCCTGACAGACGGATTTGAACATGTAATTTTAAAGTGCAGTTCCCTGTATTGATAAATGGAACCAAGCACAAAGCCTCCTTGGAAGGATTTTTTTAAAAGAAGCAAGGCCTCGCTGTGTTGCCAGGCGCATCTTGGACTCCATGGCCCCGGGCCCTGCCTGCCTCGTGCACACCCCCCCAGTGCCGGGTCTATGCCCCAAGAAATTCTACAGATTAACTTCATTCATTAGTGCAGTGGCAAGACCGGGGGGCTCAGCCCAAGGCTGCGAGCTGCCGCTCCAGCTGAGCACATACTGGTTTCTGAAAGCCAATCTGGCTTCCACATCACCTGCAGCTCCCCTCACTATGTCCCTGCTGCTGTGGCAGAGAAGTTGGTTCACAGCATTTAGTCACACCCTGATGTCCCAAAGCCTCTGGCTGCCTGGCCAGGTGTCTCTGATCCTGTTTGCTTTGTCTTTGCACTGATGAGGTGCAGGGAGCCGCAGCGGGAGGTGGCTGCCCGGGAAATTGGAAGATGCGGCTGTGCTGGTTGAGGGGGGCCTTAGGAGCCCACGGCCTTGGTACGTGTGTTTTCCCTGCTACCACGTCTCTGGCGAATGCAACTTGAAGGCAGCTGCCGGTGCCGTGGCGCAGAGCTACAGTCCTGTGCCGTGCGTCCGCCACCTTGGATGTCGCTGGGAAGGACGCGGAGTGTGGAGGGCCGAGGCCCAGGGCACAGGGAGGCCTTCCTGTGGCATGGCTTCTGCACTTGAAGGTGGACATGTGGTCTCTGGGTCACCGAAGGTCACCAGCCACTGACACTTAGTACCACTCTGTTCCCTCTGACGGCCTCTGGTGGCCGAGGAGATGCAGGCAGTGACTTCCACCTCTCAGCCCGGCTGTTACAGACCAGATGGCTGGCCTGGCCGAGTAGCCCTGTGTGTGCACTGAGCTTCGCTGTGTGACCCACCTTCGTGCACGAGCAGCAGGTCTGTGGGAGACACGCATGCAGGAGGCCAACTGTGTTACGGGGCTGCCTGCAGTCTGGGCTCCGTGGCCGTGGGCCCTCCAGCTCAAAACCATTTGAGCTGGGGTCGAGCAGTCCTCCTGCCTCCGCCTCCTGAGATGGGGTCCCAGGAGGGCACCCTGGGTCGAGCTGATGGGTTTTTGATCTATCCACTGGGTGGTGACCTGCCGTTGGGCTGGCACACAGACTAGCTGCCCATCTCTGCCCCTTGTGGTATTCATGTGGAGGGAAGAAGCCCACGGCCGGAGGCATGCTGGGCACTCACTGCTGGGTCCCCTGGCGGGGGGAGGGGAGGCTGCACTGAGACCCAGACAGCGGGCTGTGGGGAGGACAACACGGCAGAGCAGCAGCCCAGCGGGGCGCAGCACTCTGAGCTCCGGGAGCCCGTGGGAAAGGGGTGCCTGGCCAGCCTGAGGTGCAGCCCCAGGAGTGCGGAAAACGGCTTCTCGTGTGCTGGAGGAGCAGCCCTCCTCCATCCTCCGGCCCAACAAATGCCTCCTGCAGCTCCTGTGTCTTTTGGAACAACCAGAGGAGCACCAAGGCTCTCCCGCACCCAGCCCCAAGGACCAGGGGCAGTGTCAGCAAGTGACAGATGCACGAGGGCCCCGAGTGTAGCCTCCACTGTGAATGTCCCTCAGGAACAGGCCCCGCAGGCCCCGCAGGCTCTGGCCGCCCGAGGGATGGCGAGGGCAGAACTTTGCTTCTGCTGGGGCGCTGGTCGCTGCCCTGGACTGAGCCAATTTCCGTGGCACGTGGCCGCCACCTGCTGGCCACACTGTCACAGCATGACAGGCCGGATGGGTCCTCTTCTCATCCCTGTCCATGCAGTCTGGGCTTCTCCCTAGGCTCTCATGGACACCAGGGCCTTCCAGCGTCACTCTCTGGACTTGTGTGACCCTACAGGATGGCACTGCGGGACCCCTCACCCACGTGAGAACCACAGGCTGAGCCCAGCATGAGGGTCACCCGCTCCCCACGCACTCGCAGACACACCCTGCGTGTCACAAAGTGTGCAGAGGGACACAGGAGCTGAGGAGGGCCAGCAAGGCCATCTGAGGAGGTGGCTGTGTGACGACGCTCAGTGCAGCCCGTCAGCTGGGACACAGACAGCTGCTGGCTGAGCCGAGCCGCCTGCTTCCTGTCTGTGGCCTCTGCGTGGGTGCCTGTCACCCCATGGGCCCTGCCCTGTGTGGTCAGGGGCGTTCAGTGCCACCCCTTCTGCAGCCCAGGCCCTCTTCTCCCTCCCACCCACCCTGCTCCTTTGCCTCAAGTCCTCTCCTCCATTCCCTATGGAGGGCACCTGAGTCTTGCATTGTATTTGCCCGAGGAGTCGTGCTTTTGGGGGAGTGTGCACGAAATGCAGCCCTTGAGGGTGTTTGGCATGGAGGACCTCGCATTTGAGCCTCAGGGACGATAGGGGGAAATGACGGGGTGGTGCTGGGTGGAATCAGGGCCGCCACGCTGACAGCCCAGCCTGGCGTGGTCGGCTCTGCTGCGTGTGAGGATTTCCGCACAGAACCTCGTGAGCTCCAAGTTCGTCCCGCTCTTGGGGCCAGCAAGAGCGCTCCCAACAGGACAGCACACAGCACCTCCCGGCCTGTGCTGCCTGGAACGTGGCTGTGGAGCCCTAGTGTGCCGTGCCTGCCTGCTGTATTTAATTGGCCAGTTAGGCACACGTAAGAGATGAGTAACTATGAATAAGTGAGAACTGTAACCAGCAGAACACTAAGTGGGCCGTGACGAAGTAGAGGTAGGGGGTCTTGCTCGCAGCCTGCTGCCTGTGACGCGCGAGCTGACACTGGAGACGAGGGCTGCATCAGGAACTGGCCGGTAGCACACACAGGGACCCGCTGGTCAAAGGGAGGACGCAGGTCTCGAGGGGGTGGCCGCTGTGATGTGTGCTGACGCCTCTGCTGGGCAGTCCAAAAGCAGTGGGTTAGTTTTGGAATTTTTACATATTTGTGGACTGAGGGTGACCACAGAGAGGGGAAGCCAGGGCTAAGGGGAGACTCCTGCGCTCACCATGCTCCACCACTCACCCTGCGCAGGGCTTGCTCCGGGTTGGTAGCTCACACTCCCGCAGTGCTGGGAGACTCCCGCTGTGGTGGCCCCATTCCGAGGCTGACTGACTGCTGGGTCACAGTCCCAGCCACCCAGTGCTGATGGAGCTGTCTCTTCCCTGCATGACAGGGACCCGAAAAATGGAGTACAAGGGCAGCAGCTGGCACGAGACCTGCTTCGTGTGCCACCACTGCGAGCGGCCGATCGGGACCCAGAGCTTCATTCCCAAGGACAACGAGAACTTCTGTGTGCCCTGCTACGAGCAGCAGTATGCGCCACGTTGCGTGCACTGCCAGAAGGTAGGGTGCGGCCCGGTGCCAAGGGCCCTGGGGCGCCTGTGCTCCTTGCTTTGGAACTGAGCAGCACAGGGGAGACTGGGCATCCTATGTGCCCTCTGATGGGACCCCTGCACTGCTGGGGTGGTAGGATGTTTGTCCTGGACCCCCATCCCTGGCTCCGTGCTCCCGGTGAAGGGCCCAGGGCAGACCCCCAGGACCGGAGGACACAGGGTGACACATGGACCTCTGCCCGCCACAGCTGATGGAGGGCAGGATCTCCTGGGTAGGGCGGGAGGCTGGAGCAGCAGCAGGCGAGCACCCTCCTGACTCCCTGTCCCACAGCCCATCACAGCAGGTGGTGTCACCTACCGGGAGCAGCCCTGGCACCGTGAGTGCTTTGTGTGCACCGCCTGCAAGAAGCCACTGTCCGGCCAGCGCTTCACGGCCCAGGATGACTCCCCCTACTGCCTGACCTGCTTCTGCGAGCTGTACGCCAAGAAGTGTGCGGGGTGCACGCACCCCATCAGCGGTGAGTGCCGAGCTGTGCCCGGTCTGGGGCTCCCTGGAACCCTGCACACGTGCCAGCAGGCCGTTCTGGTCCACCTGCCTGCAGGGCCACTGTGGCCTATTCTCAGGACCCTTTGCACTTGGGGTTGGATGGTCCCAAAGCCAGTCTGCGAGGCCAGCCCACGCCCCAAGCTCCAGGCAGACTAGCACTGTCAGTCTCACGCTGCCTGGGGTTCTGCGAGGTGCCATGGCATCAGATGTACTGTTCTACCACAGGCTGGTGCTAGGGTTGAGGGTCCACAGGTGCTGTCCCCAAAGCACTCAGCACAGTCTGGGCCTGAAGAGGGGCTAAGTGAGCAGTAAACACTCCCTGGAAGTCGAGGCACAGAGTAGATGGCCCTGGGCCTTGCCCTTTAGACACCCATCACGTGTTGAGGCACCAGTGAGTGGTGGTGGGGGAGAGGGAGCAGGCTTTCCACCCCGGCCTGTCACTGTGTCCCTTGCCTGGGCCTGTCAGGGAGGTGGTGGCCTGGCCAGCTCTCCAGGCTTCCTACCTGAGGTGTAGGGTGACCCCTGACTGTCTCTGCCCTCGGCATGGCCAAGTTCCTTGCCTCGCAGTTCTCCTTCGTCGCCTCAGTGGCCCTTGGCGCGACCCCGGGCTGTGGGGTCTCCAGGGCCCTAAATACAAGAAAACATGCAGGCCCCACACTCCCCTGTTTACACGGCTACTTCCGGGCACTTCTGTAGCGTGTCTCCTCAGAATCCTCCTGGGAGAAGGCAGTCTTCTGCCATAGAGGTTTGTCTCTACTACCGTTTGTGCAGTGGCTTCTGTCCAGAAGTTAGGCTTTATAAAGCAATACCAACTATGGAAGAGTACTTGTCAATATATTTTGTGTGAATGTTAATTACAGTTATCATTATACTGTTGACAAGAAAAACTAGTGAAACCAGAATAGAAACCTTTCCGCTAAAACAGGAGAGCTCGTCCCTTGAAGAGCAGAGGCCGGTTTCGGAGCATGCATGCAGGGGCCAGCGCTGGTGCTTCGCGGCCACTCCTGCCTGCAGGAACGCACACAGCAGCTGGGAGACCGCCACCAGAGTAGACCTTCAGCCAGGTTCCCAAAGAACTGTTCACAGTTAGAGTCTGAAAGAGGTGCAATTCAGACAGAGCCCCCCTTTTCCTCCGTAACAAAAATGTAAATTACCTTCGTGTGTACACTGAAGTTAGCATTTCCGACTTGCCACGGGCCTGACCCACACCTCAGTGCGCTTGATCCTCAGGACCCCAGACAGCTCCGGCCTGCATGGTGACACTGCCCCACACCCTCGTGCCCAGCCAGGGGCTGGGGTGCTCTGCCTTGCCTCGTCTCCCACGCCAGCCCCGCGTGTCCTTCTCCCAGCCTCCGCAGCCACAGCCACTGACTACCTCCTACCAGGCCCGCCTCCAAAGCACAGGACTTTGGGGGATGTTTTATTTTTTAAATTTAAAAAAAAAAAAAAAACTTTAAAATTTATTTTTGGGGGATGTTTTAGATCAAACCTTTACACGGTGTGACGGGCAGGCGCACTGGAGGGCTCCTTCCCAGCCCCAGGTGCCTGCCGCTCCCCGGGCGCCCGCCCTCACCCAGCGCCACACCTTCTCTGTCTGCAGGACTCGGTGGCACGAAGTACATCTCGTTCGAGGAGCGGCAGTGGCACAACGACTGCTTCAACTGCAAGAAGTGCTCGCTGTCCCTGGTGGGGCGGGGCTTCCTCACCGAGAGGGATGACATCCTGTGTCCCGACTGTGGGAAGGACATCTGAGGCTCTGGCAAGGTGGCCGGGGCCTCGCGGGGGCCCCCAGCTGCCCCCAGTGATCTCCACGCTGTGAAACCCGTCAGTCCTTCCTGCCGCGTAGTTCAGTTCCAGAAAGAGACGCGCATATGTAACCCTAGCAGAAAGTTTAGAAGTTTTGTAGTCGTGTAAGGCAAATCCTGCGTAAAACCCCTCTGAATGATGTCTACACACACGCCTTCCCTTCACTGCCTCTGTAAGTGCAACGGACTGTGTCACACGCGAGTTTATAAGGAATAGTGGTTCTCTGCAGCTCTGTAACATGAAGCCTAATGCAAGGCTACGTGGCTCACAATAAAGCGATTTCGAGCAGACTCCACTCTGCCAGGCACTGTGTGTAACGACTGAATGTGGGGCTCGCGGGCTGGGTCATGCCTGGCCACAACATCTGGCCATCCCCGCACACCGTGCTGGGCCCAGGGTGGCTGGGGCTGGCCGAAATCCCATGGCCCCTCCTGGTCAAAGCAAGTCTGGTCAGGAACACGCCTGTCCTTCAGCTTTCTCTTTTGTCTCTTGGGGTGGAATGGTCTACATCTGCTGCAGATGTGGACAGCAGCCTTCTCTCCCTCCAAGTGAAGGGTTAGAAAAAAGACACAAGCAACTTGAGGCCAGAGACATATTTCCAGCCCTTTGGGGTTTGCTAAATCCCCAAGTTGCCCAGGCTGGGCTCCAACTTGTGATCCTCCTGCCTCAGCCTCTCAGAGTGCTAGTGTTACAGGAAGTACCTACTATCTTTAAAAAAAAAAAAAAAGTCTCAGTGGAATACAGCTATGCAGCTACATGCTCCTCCGCTGCAAGGCCTACTACGTCTTCACTCTTGGCCCTTGACAGAGGGCCGGCCAAGCCCACCCTGCACTGTGTCCTGCCGAGGTGTCACCAGGAGTAAAGGGGGGTGTGTCTGTTGTGCTATGCATATGTAAATATATCTTCACTGAGCTGTGTAAGTGAAAAACTTTATTTTCATACTAATAAATTTATTTTGCACTTTTAAGTTCAGAAGAAAATGAGTAAGAATACACATCTAATAAATTTAAAATATGTTATATGCTTTGGAATGTTTCCTATACTGGAATTATTTTATATTTTTGTTGGTTGTGGGAAATGGACCCAGTCCCAAGGACAATGAATTTAAACTTTTCTCTAGTCCCTGTGTACAAATTGCTTGGTTTTCACTTCATTGTCTCAGCACCAGGAGAGACCCTGGACTGATTGATACCTTTTACATTGTCCGTAATGTCCCAGGATGAAAGGTAAGTCTGCCTCCTTGCGATGACTCCCATTGGCTCTGCTAGTGTCTCCCTGCGTCAGCGCCTGCTTCACTCACTCCCGGGTCACTGTCTCCACTGAGCCAGGACCTGTTTCAATCACTTCCGTGTCACTGTCCCCACTGAGACAGGACCTGCTATAATCACTTCTGGGCCACTGTCCCCATCTCAGCATGGAGTGGGACAGGTTGGTCTGTGAGGAGCTGCTGGATAGCTGTCCTCCGCACCCCAACGCACTCTTCTTTCCTGCCCCATGCACCCCCTCCACTCCTGCTTGCTTCTCTCCCTCCTCCGGGCTTCTTCCAGCCCTCCTATGATGTGGGGTCCTCCTTTGCAGTCTGCCCCAATGGGCTTCCAGCCTCTACCCACATTAGTCATCTAAGCCACATCAGAGCGTCCCCAACGCACAAAAGATCCCTACGAGGAGTGCCGGGTTCCAGCGTACCTGTAAGTTTTGCCTGCTACCCCTTCAGTGCTTTTATGATTGAACCACCAATTGTCACAGGAGCCCCTTGGGCCTGTGAGAAGTCAGAGCGAACCTTCTGCAGCGAGGTGGCCCCTCACACGAAGTCCCAGCAGGCCTCCACTGGGGTGCGCAGTGTGCAAACGTGCCAGCCTTGCTGTACGCGCTGCGGCAGTTTCTCCCCGCTGCAGTTCTCCCAGCGAGAGTCACTTTGACTTTACCTATCTTGGCCTCTCCATCTTTAGTTTAAGCCTAAACTACATTATATGTAAAAACGATATGCTTTAATTTGGGGCAGTATTCTGCATATGGTAGTTTTTAGAAGTCTATGGCTGTCAAAACCAGGAAAGCACGTGGAGTCATGGAGGAGCTGAGGGCGGGGGCCCGGGGGGCCCAGACGGTGGCGGGGCTGGCACCTGCTCTGGGACACAGGTGCTCCCACTAGACCCGCGTGCTCTCTCAGGAGTGCCACCCACGAAGGCTTCACCCTGGGAAAGCTTGACAACTCGGCCACGGGCCAACACCCTTTCTCAAGAAAATGAATAAAGCTGGACGAGGCTCAGTGCGAAGATCCTGGGCCTCGTCCACGCTGGGACTGGAAGCTTAGTGGGCCGCAGAGAAGTCCTGGTCCCCGCAGGGAAGCCAGGGCACTGGACCCTTCATTCTGTCACAACTTGACCCAATCCAGTCACGCAGAGGGCCACGCTCAAGATCTACGCAGTGCGACCATTATGGAAATCAGTGTGGAGACTCCTTAAGAAACCAGGACTGGAAATCCCACTCAAGCCTGCTAACCCCTACTGGGCATTCTCCCAGAGGAACTGAAAGCGTCCTATCATAGTGACATATGTGTGCCCGTGTTTACAGCAGCACAATTTGTGATAGCCAGATCTTGGAAACAACCAAGATGCCCGTCACATGAAGAATGGTTGAAAAAGATGTGGCATTTTTATACAATGGAATACTACTCAGCTATAAAGAATGATAAACTTGAAGCCTTCATGTTTAAGTGGATGCTGCTTGAAGATACACTTCTAAGCGAAATAAACCAGACCCACATGTGTAAATATCGTGTACTCTCCCTAGTATAAGAACTCCAAAGAAGAAACACAGATAGAAAGGTATGACAATTAAAAGGAAAGTGAGAACTTGAGGACTGGACAATGAGGAGAGGGAAAGGAGAAAAGCTGGGAAACAGGACAGGGGCAAGACCCCGCATTTATACACACAAGATGGGTGGACAATGGTCCCGAGAAACATCAGCAGGTTTTTGAAACTAGCAGTTAACTGGTAGGATTCTCACCCTAACGATACACGCCGATGCCTGTGAACCACGCAACTGTGCTGAAGATAGCAAGGTGTGACAGAAGGGTCACGCTGGGAAGGCCTGTCATTCTGGTCTTCTAAATGCGTACTTCTCGCCATGACATACCAATTATTACCATACTGTCTCTCAAGTAAAAGGTTTTTTTTTTTCTTTAAATAAAGGGTAGTAAATGAAGGAAAAAAAAAAAAAAAAAAGATCTAAGTGGCCCAGGAAGTAACCTGGCTCCAGGAAGGGCCTCGGCTCGGCAGCTCTCCTGCCACAGCAGACGCTGTCGGCTGCTGCAGGAACGGGCACGATGCCCTGGAAACACGCTGCCTAAAACCCTCCAGCAGCGCCGCGGCGTCCGTGTGCACCTGAGTGCACACCTCTGCCTGGCATTCAGCGACAGGGTCAGGAACAGACAGAGGGGAACGTGGAAGGCGACCTCGGGAAACGGAGAAGGCGGCGAGGGAAGGCTGCAGGTAAGCTGCAGAGGCCAGCATGCTAGAGACCAGGCTTCCAGGCCCCGCTGCTGGCCCTGGACTCAAGTGGCTTTCTCAAGCGTAGTGATGGTCGGGGCAGGCGCCATCTCCGAGCACACAGACAAGCGTTCTGTGCCTAGGAGACAGCCCGTTAGGTGCGCCACTACGCCAGCCGGGGGCGGTGAGCGCGCAGCAGGATGGCGTCCAGATGAGGTACATGCCAAACGTACTTCAGTCACGAAACGCAATTCGCAGACCCAAAATAATTAACTAAGAGAACACTTACCAAAACATAAAACACAGATGCCATTCCTGACAACTATCAACATTTATACAATTAGATGCTGGTGGAGAGAATAACCTTCCAGGCCTGAGGGACCGAAAGGAAAATCTGCATTTCAGGTCAACTCTGTAGGTGTCTACAGAACCGGCAAGCCTAACGGGTGTCTCCTAGGCAGAACGCTTGACTTTAGTTGTGAAGCTCCCTTGCTGTTCCTTCTCTAGCTATCAGTATAGCTCAGGCTTAGCTAGGATTCATAAGAAGACAGGGCAAGGCTCTTCGAAGGTAGGACTTAACCCCAGAAACAGTAAGATGAAAGGTGGAGGAACCCGAGATTGCCCTTATCGCTGGCTGCCGAGGCTCCCGCCTGGTACCAGCTGAGATTTCTAAGTCCATGGTGTGGGCACAGCGGAAGCACCGAGTGTGTGGCCGGAAGCTGGGGGGCCGTTCTCACTGTGGTGCGGTCACGGGCAGAAGGATCTGCCCAGTGACGACTCGCATCGCGCCGCTGGCCTCGCTGCCGCAGGTTGGACCCAGAAGCCCCTAAAGGCTGGCAGCTGAGGTCACTGGGATTGGCCTTAAGAGGACTGTGAGGTGCTGGCCTCTACTTTATGCTTCTTGGGCACTGCAAGGGGGACGGTTCTGCCACACTCTGCCACGGAGTACTGCAAAACTAAGCTTCAGTTAAATTATAATTCTAACTGTAAATAATTAAATTTTAAATTTTAAATTATATCCACTATTTTGTTATGGGTACAAATGGCTGCTGGATGTGATAGCCATGAGTAGATACTTATAGAGCTAGGAATACAGTGCCCCTCACAATCTCTTTGCTGTCAAGAAGGCAACGCAGGGGCACCTCAGGAGCAGCAAGCACCCCTTGCAGCCAGAACCTTGGTTCTGAACACTCTTCTCCAGTAAGGCCAGCCCAATCCTCTCGGCCAAGCAGCTGATGCCAGGTCTTGGGCAAGAAATACCGAAAATGAACCCGTTGTCCATCCAATGTCAGAAACTCGGGCCGTGCTCCAAAAGCTTCTGGTGGCCAACAACCACATCTGGAGGGAGGAGAAAGCAAGCACTATACACAGGTGGCTGGCTACTCACGAGCGGTGAACCCCAAATAATGTACGGACACTCGCTCCCAGAGGGGCGCTGACTGCACTGCCTGCTTCCGAGCGCAGCACAGTGCAAGAGCTGTGTTCTGAGGAGACTGTCAGCCAGGTGGCCAAGGCTGCGCGCTCAGTGGTGACATGTTCACTGTGCCCTCGAAACCGTGAGAACAGCACTCTGCTTTGTGCCTCCCCCAAATCCGCAGCCCCTGTGCACTTGCTGAAAAACATCATTCAGATCCCAACCGTGAGGCCTCAGGCCTGACCAGCACACCCAACGCAAAAGCAATCTCAGCCTTTGCCTAAGGAAATGCCTGCCTGCTGTGGCACTGTGTGTGGGCCCGCCCCAGGGACACGGCAGGGCGCTAGTCCTATGCAGGTCCATGTGAAAATACAGGATGTTAGCAGC